TGTATATATATATATATATATATATATATATATATATATATATCTGACCCCATACTTTTAAACAGCACTTTATAACTACATGATTCATTAACAATTTATTCATTTGAAATGTACATTACAACTTAAGATGGCAAAATTTTATGGCAAAAAGTAATAATGTTACCAAGATGTTAGATTTGCCTTGTCAATGTAGAACACTCTTAAAAGCAATAGAAAAACAATCTGCTGAAATTGATGAAGTACTTATTTACACATACATTATTTATACACACACACACACACACACACACACACACACACACATACACACAGAACATGTCCCTGGATCAACATCCTTTGTTGTTGTTGGAACAATATTCCTGTCAGCTGATTGTTGCAGCTGCTTATGTTTAAAGATGTGATGGATGATAGAAATGTGTTTTTCATGGATAATAAAAGATGCAGATCAAGGAACATGTCCTACTTATATAATATATGTCATGTTTTTCATATATTTTATGTTAACAAAGTTTTACTGATTCTTGAGATGTGAGACAAAAATGCAAAAATAAGTAAATATCTTCCGATGTATTCCTGTGTTTGGGTGAAAATGGCTGCTTGTTCATTTAATTTCTAACAAAATGTTTTTTTCCTTGTCTATCACTCAATATGTCTCAACAACGACAGATACGAAAACAACATGCACCGTCATGTCAAACAGTAGCTATAAATACTCACATATCTATCATTCACTATGCATTCAACACACATCTTGATAATAATCAGAAATGTTTCTTGAGCAGCAAATCAGCATACAACAATTTCTGAAGGATCATGTGACACTGAAGACTGGAGTAATGATGCTGAACATTCAGCCTTAGCATCATGGAAATTAATAACATTTTAAAATATATGCTAATAAAAAAAAAATATTTTAAATTGTTATATTGTCTTATGCCTTTGCGAGCATCTTCTTTCAAAAACATAAAAAAAAACTTTTATATAAGCTGAAGTTGTTTGACTTTCCTATTATCTTAGAAATGTTTTCATAAATATCTTACAGTGTTGAGATCAATCTGTTAATGCAGTCATTGCAATGCATGTTGTATATTTTTATTATATTTATACTCTTCATACGTTTATCTTATTATTACCATTATATTTCCACTTTGGAATTAATCTGATGATAATGTGTGGCATGTTTGTTTATTATTAGCATCATTAGCACAATGTAGTTTTTTTTTGTTTTTTTTTTTGTTCAAATTG